ATATATATATATATATATATATATATATATATATATATATATATATATATATATATATATATATATATTATATTTATAATCGATAGACTTATGGATTTATTATACTCGATGCATGTTTTTTTTATTATGACTTTCATTTGCAGTGTCCACATGCATGTATGTTCTTGATACGTGGTTATGCTTTTTACTTGCCAAAAAGTCGTATTCAGTCTCAGTTTCCATTGTGGTGTTGAGATGGTAAAATGTTGATCGTGTGTTACATGACATCGTCTCCTTTTTTATGAGGTAAAGACTCGGGTGTCATGAAATCATGGAACAAAAGAGGTGGCTTCATGGTGATTTGTTAAACGGCAAATTCCAGGCTCATATACCACTCACTTCTTCACATGCCATACTGCCGGTGCCTGTCGGATGCCTAACCAAGGTGACGTCTTTGACCCTCTCTCTTTCAACCAAGTTAGTAGGAATAAGGTCCACAGTGGAGCCAATTAAAGTCATTGACCAATGTAACCGGAAGAATGGTTTTGAATTGGTCGGTGATAAGCGAATTTGAAGTATTTAGTTTCCTTTGGAAAGTACACTTCCAGCAAGACAACCGCACAATGAAGCAACATCGCATCGTGCGTGTTGCATCCTTTCCCCCTTCGCCTGAGTTAGGCCGCCACGACTAAGTTGGGTCATAAATCATTCATTCTCCACGTTGCAAAAGCATACAGGCAATTCTCACGTGCTTCTCATGTTGGATGTGAAGGTGGATCTCACGACCGACGGGCTGCGATGTCCATCCAAGTCGTTGCCACGACCCGATTCGCCCAACTAAAGCCGTAATGAAAATGCACAACTAAGACAGAGGCACAGGAGAGGATGTCGTCCGTCGTTCGATGATTGCAAGGACACGGACATTGATCTATCGCCTCTGCACATCGTCTCATATACCATCAGCAATCCATCGAGAACATGACGCCGCCATGAGCTCCCGGAATTCGCATCTTTCCATGTGTGTTGTTGTTAGGTTTGGAGTCGGTGAGCCGTCCCAATTTAGAGGGAGACCCCAGCCCACGTACCTGTCACCACGCAGCCCATGTGATCACACCATTTTACGTTTTCCTCCTGCCATCACAGCCTTTTGTTTATACTAAAAAGAACGCGCGGTTATGGTTCCCTCCTCGGTCCATTGAACCGGCTTTGGTTCGATATTCCTCGATTTGAACCGGACTGGTGCGAAATAATGTCTCACAACAAACAACATCTTCGTCCGGCAGAATTCATCAACGGCCATTTCTATTAACGAGCAGGAAAAGAAATCGGGAACACTAATCAACCGCCTTCGCCTTCTTTTATCCCCCTCTCTCTCTCTCTCTCTCTTTCTCTCTCTCGTAATAAAGAGTCAGATCCACCCTCACTGCCTCACCCCTCTGAAACCCCAATCTCCCCTCCTCCTCCCCATCCAAGGACCGATCGAATCGGTCCGGATCCACCGATCCGGACCAGCGCAGGAGGAGCGGAGGGGAGGGGGAGAGGGAGATGAGCGCGAAGGTGGCCCTGTCGCCGGCGCTGGCGACCGGCCGGTTCTTCACCATCGGACTCGTCACTGCCTGGTACTCCTCCAACATCGGCGTGCTCCTCCTCAACAAGTACCTGCTGAGCAACTACGGGTTCAAGTACCCCATCTTCCTCACCATGTGCCACATGACGGCCTGCTCCCTCCTCAGCTACGTCGCCATCGCTTGGCTCAAGCTTGTGCCCATGCAGGCCATCCGCTCCCGCCTCCAGTTCCTCAAGATCGCGGCGCTCAGCCTCGTCTTCTGCGGGTCGGTGGTCAGCGGGAACGTCTCGCTCCGGTACCTCCCCGTCTCCTTCAACCAGGCGGTCGGCGCCACCACGCCTTTCTTCACGGCCGTGCTTGCTTACCTCATGACTCTCCGGCGGGAGTCCTGGATCACGTACATTACCCTCGTACCAGTCGTCACAGGTGTTATTATTGCCAGTGGGGTGAGTACTGTTATATATATATGTATATTTGCTTATTAATCATGTCTGCAGCTTGATTATAAACAAAGCAGACAATTGGATTAATCCAGAAAGAAAAAAGGAGATAGATCCAGAAGAAAAGGATATTGCCTTAGAGGCTTCAGTGACCCTTAAATTCTTATGTAGAATGTTAGATTTGTGCAGACTTATTTTACATCAGAGTTCGTAATTGGACTTTATTTGCTTATCTTTATTATTATATTTCTTTATATTGGTGCGAATTGGGACGACAATCACCATGCATAATTAGATGTTATAATAGTAATCACTAATGTGGTGGGTATCTTTTTCCTTGCATGAGCTTATCCTGCATAATTGATCTTTGTGTGTTCATCCGTTAGATGTTTGGGTTCCAAAAACATTGAATTGTTTGAAGATGTCAGGCTAGTTCCTAGATGATTGATGTAGGAAAATAATCTGCTTCCGAAAATATGCAGTTATGTCGATGGTCATGTGGAGGATTTCTTCAACACATGGGTTTTAGGAAGTTATTATTCCTTTGTCTTTTCAGATTAAAGGCTAAAACATATGAGAACTGACACTCTTATTGGTTCAATTTTGCAGGGTGAGCCAAGTTTTCACTTGTTTGGATTTATTATGTGCATTGGTGCTACCGCTGCTAGGGCACTAAAGTCAGTGCTGCAAGGAATTTTGATGTCTTCTGAGGGGTAAATAATATATTTTCTCTAATAGTTCGGATATTCTTTCACAAATACTTCATGAAGCTTTTCATGTTTCATTTTTGTCATTACGTGCTCCAAGTTCATTTGGTTTTGTTACTTGAGTTTGTCTTGAGATATTCTAGAATATGCATCGAGTTATGCTCTTCTTTATTTTGTTAATGTTCAGGGAAAAGCTTAATTCTATGAATCTCCTCCTATATATGGCTCCGATAGCAGTAATTTTCCTACTTCCTACAACACTCATAATGGAGGATAATGTAGTTGGCATCACATTGGCACTCGCGAAAGAGGACTTCAAGGTTATCTGGTACCTCCTGTTCAATTCCGCTTTGGCGTATTTCGTGAACTTGACCAATTTCCTGGTCACAAAACATACCAGTGCTTTGACCCTGCAGGTACGCTTTATTGGATGTAATTTTTTGCTCATGCTGCCTTATGGTTTTTATGGCTTATGTTTTTGGCAATCAAACATTAATTAAAATAAGAAACTGCAACATGTCTTACATTCAAATTGACATTGAGATCTTGTGCCATCACACTATGCAGCTTCAATCATACGTAATAATCTGTAACTTGTTTCTAGAGTTCCTTGCAATGTTTGTATTTTGCTCCCCACTTCACTGTTCCTTTTACCATCAGCATGAATATGGAGTGATGGTAAGGCATCTATAAACAAGTGTATAACAAATGCCTCCTACAAATTTTAAAACCGTCTTATGTCTTTGAAGGACTTGTTGGGCCTGAAGACTGCTTGTGTTTATTCAGTTCACCTAATGGTCTTTGACTATCCCATTTGCCTTAGCATTTAGTATATTATATATTTATAATGTGCCAATATAATGAGTCCATTGATGCAGGCTAGAAAAATGGCTAAGATTGGAGAACTTTATTGCATCGAGTTTCTTGGAAGTTTTCCTTAAGGACACCTCTACTAGGTTCATCCAAGAGTGTTAAGCTACTAAAAGTACCAAACTTGCTGATTTTTCACAAATTGGAACATTGTAATTCAACATATGAGATGCTACTAGAATGCCACTTTAATATTATGACCTTCCACCATGGTTTTCTTCATTTTGAAGAGTAGCATTAAGACCAATAAATCATCTGAAATCAGATTGGTTTGGATGGATCGGACAACACTCTGAAGTATCCTCTTATCACAAAATTCTTGATGATGTATCCTTTCCCAAAATGTGTCGTGATCTTTTTTTTTGGTTGGGGGGGTTTAATCAATAGTGTATGATTCAGTACATTGGGGGTTTGGATTGAGACAACATGAAACAAAGAATTAACACAGAGAAGATAGTTAGAAGTATAAGCAAGTATTCAGTTGCTGATGGTGTTGCTCAGTCTTGATTTCAGACACCATAACATAATTACCAGGAGTACAAGTCAGAAGTTCCAATTAGAGAAAAAGTGAGAGAAAAATTTCTTAGTTTTGGACGATTTACAGAAAATGGCAATAGTAGAGATGGGCATCATGATCTATGGGTTATTTGCTCTACTGAACCACAAGGCAGATTCTCATATGTAAGCTGGTTGCAGTAGACTTCTTTGGCCCTGCATTGTGTTAGCTAGTTAAATGTTCACATTTGTTTGTTGAGTATAAGCTGTGATAAATTCCTGAAAATGCTGTGCGAAAGTTGCATTTGATATCACGATTGGTATTAGCATGGATATACATACTCTGGAGATTGATGCTGTGTGATATGGACGATAAAATTTTCCGTAAGATGCTAGACATAAAAATTTTTGGTTTAGAAATCTGTCTGAGAATGGTCATACAGATTCACAACAGGAAAAAATTTTGATGAAAGCGGGTAACAATTTTGTTGTAGCGTTGGTATTACATTTTACCTTCTCCAAATAACCACCGATAAAGATTTTAAGTGTTTACTGTAAGAACATGTTTGTGTACGAACCGTGCAGCTCTTTGTAATCCGAGAGCCCACCATGCTCCGATCTTGTTGTGCTTTTCGTAAATTGTTAACCAAACATCATGATCTCTAAGATCCAATCCTTGTATGCTTGGTTCAACAAATATGCATCGTGGAAGATTTTTGGAATGTACATCGGAATATTGAAACATCCTTTGCTGAACCATAGACAAAACTTCTTAGCTAAGTCAATCTTGTTAAAGGCATCTATCTTCTCATGCAATGTGATTTCTCTGTCGCCTTGATGTTTCCATCACATACAAATCATAATATCATGAGTTATTATGATTTCATCTTTTTTTTTGTTTTTGTTTTTGTGTTGTGTTTCTCAAGGTGCTTGGGAATGCCAAAGGAGCAGTGGCCGTGGTCATCTCAATTTTGATATTTAGGAACCCAGTATCTTTTACAGGGATGGCTGGCTACACCCTTACAGTCGTCGGCGTCATTCTTTACAGTGAATCTAAAAAGCTCAGCAAATAGGGTGTTTCAGCAACACATCTCAAATTAATGTTTATTTTTATTTCTTTGAAATCTTCGGTAGGTTCCGTCAGAGATTTTGTTGTATACTTTGAATCGGGAGGTGGCGTCCGTTCTCCCTCATTTACTGTAAGAATCATTTACACTCGACTATTTTTTTTTATTGTTCAAATTTTCTTGTTTTAGTGTAATGAATCAAATATATTTTATGAACATTTGCTCTCTACTATTACTCTTCTAGTTGGTATGATGGTTTCTTTACATTACTTCATTCGATGTTGATCGATCAACGTATGATGGATGGTTTGATTACTTGGAATCATGATCATTAGCTTTTTAGATTGTGGCGTCGTCCTATTATTCATTCAATAGGAACGCCGTCCCCATCCGTCTGATCCAAACCGACGACGGCGAGGATGAATCCAAAGGATTCTTCTATAGGTTAGCATCGATACACTAAATTCCGATTAATCATTTTAATATTGACTTTAAATGAAAATATAAATAAATAGTTTCATTTTGTTCTTTTTCCTTTACGCGCAATTTTGCCTATTTATTGAACGAAAAGAGCCACCGCTATTTGCTGAGCTCTCCTTCCGCCCGCTCCTACGACTCCCCGCCTGCCGTCGCCTCCAGCGGTCACCGGAGATCTCTCCACCTATTTCGCCGCCGTTATCATACTACAGAACAGAGGAGTCCTTCGATTCGGCCAAGGTTACTACTCTTCGATCGCTTCTGTAGTTCTGGTTCCTCGAATCTACTTGTTCTTCGTCTCTGGTGCGTTCTTGAACCCCCGTTCCGATCCAGTCCTGAGCGTTTCGTCTCGATACGTGTAGTTGTTGATCTATGGGGGAAGCTGAGATCTGGTTTCTTCCATTAGATGCGGTCGGAGGATCTCGTGCCCTCATTTTGATCGTCGAAGCCCAAGGACATGTTCCGTAAGAACGATTCGGCCTTGTCCTGCTTCTGTCTCTACCTCTTCTTCCTGAAAGAGTGAAGAAGAATACGGACCACCCTAGCTTTGGAAGGGTGGTTCGAGACCCAGAAGAAGGTCGAGTTGGGTCGAGCGCGGCTGGTCGTGGAGCAGTTCCTTGGCAACAAGTAAGAAATCTGTGCTCGATTCCTTACTCATAGCCTGCCGTGTTATTTTCTTTCAGAATCAGGATGTTCTTGCACTTGCATGTCGTTTCCTAGTAATCAATTTGTTTCTTGATGCTTAAAAAGTCACAAGATGTTGGCTCTACCACAGCTTATATCTGTAAATATATCTGAGAAAGTCTTTGGTGCTCCTCCTTTGGCAAATAAAAAAAGATCACGGAAAAACTTTTCACCGATGAGAATATGGATGGATGTGCAGTGTCATGCATCTATCTTGGGTTATTCAACACCAATGTAGAAGCTGCAAGGTCCTCTTGAACATGGATTAGGGCTTATGACAAGGCTTCCATTAAAGTATGATGGAAGGGAAGCTGTCACCGATTTTGAGCCGAGTACCCATGAAGCAGAACTATTTCCCCAGGGTGAAACTGAAGGTATGGTCAACGTATCACAATCATTTTCTAATATCCTTCACTATATGTCAGTTCTCTGAATTAACTAACTGCAAGTGGAGTTTATCTACTGATCGATTGGAATTCAAATATTCTGAATTGGCTGCAGGCCATGCCGTGGATCTGAAGTTGAGTACTTCCCAATCTGTTGTCCATGGTCCAAAGGGGTATCAAAATCTCTTGGGCATCCAGTTTGAAGCTTCTGATGTCAACAAAACAACGGTAACCACAAAGTTTGTTATTCCTTTTCACGATCAGAGACTTGTTATCAGTTCGTTTTCTCTCTCGAGTGTTTCCCTTATAAATCTTGTGTTATTTGAGGCATCATGATACTATTTTTCATTGTGACGAATTTTCTTTTCCTGTCATACCACTCGTACCTGTCACGACCTGAGTCTGATAAGCCAACTGGTCAATAACTTCACGGACCAAAATGTTTAAGCGGGAGTTAACGTAGTAGACTCATCAGGCCCTTATAAACTAATCATACTAATGGGATGTTACAATATCCCCAACTCAATTAGCTTGACGTCCTCGTCAATGCCCGACATAACCCAGATCGAACCCTAGCATAGTGCATGTGAGGTTTAACTTAGTGGTGGCTCCACGCCGTGATGAGTTCTCGACTCCATCCACGGGTAGCCCTTTCCTACTCGAGCCCTCTCACCCTGCCCAAATGTTAGGTCGGCTCTGATACCAACTGTCACGACCCGAGTCTGATGAGTCAACTAGCTAATAACTTCATTTTGGTCCTTCAACTACGGACAAAAATGCTTAAGTGGAAGTTAACGTAGTACACTCATCAGGCCCTTATAAGCTAATCATACACATTTCCCACTTCCGATGTGGGACTAATGGGATGTTACAGTACATTCATTCATGTGTTCCTGTTTCAAGTCCTCAGGAACTCGATGGACCGTGTTATTCACAACATCTGTATACATTTTAGTTTCATTCTGCTCCAGCATTAACATTCTCTGTTTCGGACTTGAGAGTAATTCTTATGTTTGATTATATTTTTCCTTTTTTCATACTACAATGTCTTGATTGGTTGCCAAGTTCATTGATTGTAGCTTTTATTGCTTGAAGCTTGCAGTTTGATGAGTGCGTAGCACATCTGGATTGTCCTGTTTTTTCCTTTTGTTATAAATCTTCTTGTAGCTCCTTAAGGTCATAGCCTTTCCTGGGAGAAAGTGATTGAAGTCTGTGTGGAAGACCGTCTTTCCTAACTACAGCAGTTTTTTAAGGTTTATAGTCTTCGATGCTGTTCATCATTCGAGATCAGGTCCTCCGTGAAGAATATTGTTGCCAAAGAGATTAATTTGAGATAATAAGGGAAAGATTTTCCTTACTCATATATTCAAATCATGCACTAGTTTTATGATTGATTCTCATCATTTCATATTTGTTTATATCATGATCTTCTTTCATTCTGTACTGAATATTGACTGCTAGTAGCTGGACCGAATATTTATCTACAGTTCAAGACAAAAAAAACAGCTGAATCTGCTTTCACTTGTCAGTCTCTTGGATTTATTATGGAGTTAGATAAACATGCCCGGTTGGTCTGACATCTGCTGTCTATACAAATGCAGGTCAGAGTGAGATAGAAGGAGCCTGCGGTTCGTCTGCAAGCTCCTGAAGTCTGGAGTTGGTCAACAACTGGGTCTCCCTCCCAATTTCCGCTGTTCACTTCTGCAGCATCATCAGGATTCTCGAGGGACGGCTACTCTTTCTCCCCTGCACCACCCCTGCTTCATTCTCCATCGTATAGATTCACCGATTCACTGTCTTGGGAATTCAGATGAACGGACACCAGAATCAGTCGGGTGAGGTAGAGATGACACACCCGATTTCTCTGAAGAGCGAGCTCATCCTCCTCTTCTCACCCAAAAAGCTCAAGATAATGAACACCCATGTTCTTTTCTCAGGTTTGGAGCAGTCAAGTGATTCTTCTCTCTGGAATTTGGGTTTGCCGCTCAAGATCAGAACATTCCATGCTCACCTCGGAGGCCGCAACTCGTCCCTGTCGGTAATACTTTTCCCGTGTCTTCTGATGCAACTGTTTTCCGAGTTGTCTTACTTGTGAACAACTACGTCACTGCTTACATAATGCGAATCGTGACTGCTATTTTTATGTTGTCATTTAGAATCAATCACAGATGGAATATGTTTTTATTTTGTTCTTTTATTCAGAGTCTTAAATTGCATTATCTGCCTGATTGATTAATTGATCCGCTCGCTCCTGGTTGCGCTCTACCTCCAGGTGGAGGAGATGGCGGAGGAGGTCATGGAAGACAGCGAGTCACTGGCGATCTGCCTCTTGACGTCGCCTCTACGTGGGTAGGGGGTTCCTCTCCCGGTCGCCGGAGTCTTGGTGGCTGCCCATCGATCTCTCTTTGCAAGACAGCAAAAGCGAGAGCGGATGGATGGTGTTCGTGAATGAGACGAATGGAGTGGTCACATAGTACATGCACCTTCAAAGAGAAATGGATTGCACGATAACAAAAGATGCAAACGATGTGGCTGTTTGAGGTCATCCAAATGAGGCTGTGATGATGATGCACGCATTAGTGACAGCCGACATGCACACAAACTGTGAGCTTCGTATGCCAATAAGTATCTAAATCTGACACAGTTCATCCGTATAATGGGGATATTGAATTAAGATCCATGTTTGCAGGGGGGATGAGATTTGGGGCAGAAGGAACAAAAGGAAAAGTCCCACAGTATCATCATCATCCAATTCTGTGCGCACCAACCATTCCGAACAGAACTAACTGCATGGTTAATGAAGAAGGAAGCTGTGGCGATCCCCTGCCCGGACCTGTTTCTCTTTTCTATGCACAAGAGGTGTTGCCGTCGTGGAGATTTGGGTGGATCGAGAGCCTTGGGTATGCTGAATTCGATGCTAATCACCCTCGTCGCTGGAAGCGTAGCCGCTCGCCGACGGGGTGGCGTCTGCGGAGAAGGAGCGATCGCCGTCGAATTTGTGCTCCTCCCTGTTCTCCAGGGCCTTTGGGATGATTGCTCGGAGCAAATCCCCAAAGATTCTTGCTTTCACCTGGCCTCGCTTCGGCAGCGGCCTTCCCTTCCTCTTGTTCTCAGGGACTAGCGATTCCATTGCCGGAAGATGGGTGAGCGGAGCAGAGGACTGCAACGAGACCTGCAGCGGGAAAGAAGCTCGAGAAAGAATAGTTGGCTGGAATCCGTGAAAAAGTGTCGATGGAGAGAGGATCGGAGCTGTCGATCTCTTATATACTGCTGAAGTCTGGCTGTCGGTTGAAGATGATCAGCTGCCTTGTGGCGCAAGCTTGCAGCTCGACGTGAGCAAGTGGAGCCTTGAAGCTTCCAATAGAAGTAGATGGAGTTTGTCTTATGCGACAAGTCTCAGTCCAACCCTGTGACTCATTCGCACAACAAGGTGATGGAGGTTCGTGTTCTCTACAAGAAACTGCATCCTCTGTGTGTCAGCCGATATGTCAGCTACTTTGACGTAACGATCGTGGCAGATCGTCCCCATCAAACTCGAACCAATTGAATCTTGACAATTTCTTCAAGACTGACTGAATGAATGCACTAATCGACCGCAATGAATGCATCGCCGTCGGTCTCCGGAGACGACTTCTTCAAACGGAGCTCAAAATTTGACACCTTCTCGACTTCAGCTGTCCGTGGATGAGTCCACTCAGGAGTTTGCTTCCCGTACGCGATGAATCTGCTCACGCACGCACTCTGCTCATGGACGAGAGACGGCGTGCAAAGCGAGAACGACATGATCGATGAGTATGCGGAGAAGAAGAGGCCATCGAGATTCCACTATTTTCTGGTCTCGCATGGTCGTTTGGTGATTCCATTTCACGCATGACACTTTGGGAACTGTACTTGATGTTCCACAAGGATCACATGCTCCTTCCGGTGTCGTCTCTCCCGGCCCGTGAACGAAGAGAGCTAGAAGATTGCCATTGCAGCTTGGCATCGCCCAATCTTTCTGGTCCACCAAGTCCAAAATCACATTATGGTTGCCCTGTTCCGGGAAACAGGACACCCTGCAAAGGTGGATGAACTGCTGTCGAAGGAGGTCGTGATGAGTAAACCATGGCATTCCTCCGAGTGCGTGGCCCCTATGCTTCGACTCCAAGTCAAGCCAGTAATGAAAGATCCTTATGCAGCAGCACCGAACATTTGGGCTGTAGAGAAAGAGGAGCAGACGGGACAGAGGAATCGAGCACCGGGCATATATTGATCGACTCTAATTCGATGCGTATAATTCTAAGACCAACGTTCTGTTGTGATGATCGATGAAGCATCCCCTGAGCCGTAGCAGAAGATTGACCACATCGAGTCTTGGATTTGTCTTCAGGACTGTGCTAAATCCCGTGCATTTGAGATAGCAAACTGAGGGACCAAACTACATGACTCGGCTCACACGATCGTCTCTGGCCTCCGAAGCCATCGGAGAGTCTGGTTCCTTGTCCTGTGAAGCGCATATAATGAATGTTGATTGTCCCAGAGTTGGTGGAAGAACAAATTAAGGACACAGAAGAGTGAGGAGAACTCGGCTGACCTCTGCTATTAATTAGATTTTGGTCTTCACCCTCCATCGACTGCCACAAGTCGCCCAACAAAGTGCAAGGGAGTCAGAGACGGAACAAGATGCTGGCCTCAAACAGGCAATGCAGGTAGCGGAAGCCTCAGTTTCTCCGGTTCTCCTCCATGGCCTTCTGAAATCCATTTGATTCTAGTTGATGGTGACGGTAGGTTTCCCTTTTTGTTGGTAGAACCAGGAGAGGCATGAAGGAGCAGATGGAAGATGAAAGGTTGTGGACCGTTGCATGTTTGAGAGGGAGGCTGCTGGCGGAGAGAGTGGCTTCCAAGGCTGCCAAGGAGGAAGCAGAGAAGCTGGCCAAAAGGGTTTGTATGCTATTTCTCAGCAACAACAGCATCAAGAAGGACAACGCCTTTGCCTTTTTAGTGTGTCTCCGTTTAACTTGTTGCTTTAACAGTTGGAAGAATTAGAGAGGAAGCTTGATGAAGAGATCAAATGCAGGGACAGGGCTGAGAAGAAGCTCAAGTGCGCCATAAGGAAGTTGGAGTCTCTGAAGGTCTCGGATGGCAGGGATCAAGCGGGCATTCCCTTGAGCTCCGTGAGTTCTTCGTCCTCACAATGCTTCTTGGGCCAACAGAGATTAGACCGTGACATGTCTGGCTCAGTGACTGCTGATCTGGTACATGGCGGTGAAGATGTCAAAATCATCCCGAGTTCTTCAGGAGATGATGCCTCGGGGAGATGGCCAGAAGAATCGGATCACCAGCTGGTGTATCTGAAAGAGACATGGATTTCATTAGGGACTGCGAAATCTCAATACAAAGGTTGTAGTCCCAAAGACTGGGCTACTGGTGCTTTGAGGTATGTTTCTAAGTGAACCAGTGATTCTGCTGCTTTGCCTGATGAATCATTTCCTCCTCCTGACATTTCTATTGCCAACATGAAAATAGAGGTTGAAATCACTGAAAGATATCCTACCTCATGTCAAGTTCTCTGTGTGAGTGCTGGATCTCGAAGAAAGCCTCACTTTTGCACCTACATTGTTTCGTGCAAAGCTCAATCTGCCCCCCCCCCAAGCACTGCACTGTGCTTGATTAGTCCATTGTAAGATCTCAAGTAGCTCCATGTTATCACCACTCGATCATTGTCCCTGAGCTCCTAAAATATTTCGTTTTATTTATGGTTGTGTCTTCTCTTGGAATCGTAAAGGATATTTCTTGATAGATTGTTACCACCAGAGTAAAAATCTATTGTGACCATTGCCTGTCTGGATAATGATCTACTAATATGTGAATCATACCGAGCATATGATCTAACCATAGCAGATGTGCTACTCAAAGGCCAGTTTTTGCCGGAGGAGCTGTGTGCTTATTAGGAGCCATTTCTGCATGTTATTGATCAGACCCTTCAATATATCATTTGCTTCATACAAATATGTAGTTTCTATTTCACCTTCTTCTTTCCTGTTTTTATCTTAGAAAAATTCTTGAGGCTGTATACACCATGGTTGTCGAACGATAAGTCGATAGAAGACATTATACGCGTACAAAGAGAAGGTGTTTTACACATTAGTTGTTAGTTTTGCAAAAAGCAAAGAACTCATTGGAGTAAGGTTTAATTGATGCTTTCTTTTTTATGCGTCTTATCGACAAAACTTGCTTTTATATTTAATTGTTATTTAGGACAAACTGAAAGCGTGCAATTATATGGTACTTTGATATTAGTATGATTTCTTGTGTCTTTCTCCATATACTTGTCTCCACACTTCAAATTTAAGTGTATTGTTTCATGAAAACTTGTATCGAGACACCGAGCTACTTTCATTCACAGAATTGAAGAAGTACATTCACTTTGTCTACGAAAAGGAGTTGAAGAATTAGGATATTGCAATGAAATTCTTGCGAGAAATGGGAATAATACATTAGAAATTTATGCAGCAGAGTTGTATATATCGAAGATATTCCTAACGTAATGATAATTAGTCGAACCTTTGAATCTTTGAACAGGGCATGTTCTTGCAGTGATGACAAGCAAGAAACATCAGCAGACGATGAGGCGGAAAGCGAAGACAATGTGCTGGCTCTTGTTGCAGTAAGTAGGCAGCTGGACTTGGAGGCTGGTAGATTGGAGATCAAGGACAATGTGCAGGGTGTTCTTCTCGCTCTGAGAAATGTCAAAGAGCTGTTGCTGCAGTCTTTAGTGAGGAGAGCCAACACTTTCAATTAGTCTTCAATTTTTTTCCCGCGGTTAAATGTATGATAGCATGCATAGTTCCCCCATCAGGTTTTTCTTTTTCCCCAATAATTTGGTTTTCTGAGTGTTGTGTTTGTAGAAATTATTGTCTCGACTTCACAAGCATATTAATTTTGAGTGACTTGCAGTTCATTCCATTGTTGATCTTCAAATAAAAAGCCCCGATCGTCGATAGCAAAACATATCATCGTAGATGTTTCCTTTTTGTGTCTGATATGATGCAAAACACATATTACATTTTGACATTTTTGATCGAGAATCGTAGCTATGGCTACGACTATTTTGTCGGTTTATCTATCTCCAATAATTAATTTTTGTTGATCATATCGTATTGGAATTTTTCGATACATTTTTGACATTTTTGTTTGTTGTTCCTAATATTGAGATTCTTCCTTTTTTTTTTTTTTTTTTGTTCTCTCTCGCCACAGTAAATAATTAATGGTTCGAAGTTATTTTAATAAAAATAATTATTGCAAACACAGAAGGAAAAAAAAAACAACGATTTTTTCGGTTTGTGGGCTCCACCGAAGGCTCCAATGGGCCAGCGTGGCAAGTACGGGATATAGAAACGGGTAGAGGGAGTAATTGCCCCCTCCTAATTCCCGACGTCTCGAAGAAGGGGGAAGACCTCCTCGCCACCGCCTCCTCCTTCCCCTTCTCTCGACGTTCTCGATCCGCTTGCGTTCGATCGATATGCAGTCTCGACGCCTGGTGTCTTCGTCGATCCCGATCTCTCGCGCCGCCCTCCTGATCGCTCACGTCTTCCTCTGCTCGCTTCCTGGTAACGCAAAACGACTGTTCGTTGCCCTTTTCTTCCCTCGGTTTCTTGCCCTACATCATGGTTCCTATTCTCCTGCGAATTCCTTTTGTTCTCGCATATGCAATCTCGATATCATCTTGGTCTACTGTTTCCGCCAATGAGCTCGAATGAATTTGCCTGGTGCGAAGTAGACACAGATCTGTGCGTTACGAATCCTTTTCTTCTTTTGTTGCATTTTATGTTTAGAGGAGCATAGTAGCGAGCCGATTAATCGTTATCTTTTGGGCTGAAACTGGAGGTGCAAGTTCACGCCTTTGTGATTGTTGGCTCTATGGAGGAAAGGGAGATTAGGAGATTGATGTGGATGATTCTTATTGGAGATAGAATTGGAATTAGGGTCGTTCCAGGTTAGGATGCGCTTAGAATTAGAATTAGAATTAGGATTGATGGTGAAAAATCTGTGAAGAAGAAGTTTGATCAGGCTTCCAATTATTTGTGTGCACCGGTGGATCGGCTTCGAATTCACACGTACATCCACAATAAACTCCCATAGTGTACGATGACTACATTCAGAAAGAAATAGTCTTAGGGATTAGCTCAGCTTCCTAGATGATATATATATATATATATATATATAGGTAAGGTTTTTCCTTATGATATCTTCAAACTAGATGATCTAACACCTCAAGAATAATGCAATGGAAGGTCAGTTTTTAAAAGGAAGAGAAGTATATGAACTAGGTTTTTGAAATAGAAAATTTATTATATTTTTTGGTTGTCGATGTCGATGGAGAGCCTTGGTGTCACAGTGAGGTTGCTCCTCCATGACCTGGGTGACTAGGGCTCAAGTCATTAGATTAATTTATTTAAAAGTATGTACCATGATCCCCCCTAGAGCCATAGTGGTTGGAGTCTCGCATGCCAGGTTCACCCTTTTTGTTACATTTTCTTAGTAAAAGGAAAAAAATGAATTGAATCGTAGATAGCAATTCCGAAGTTCCAACAATTTTCTGCAACATTTGGTGGCTGCCAGACGAACCATATTAATAGTACTGTGCAAGATAATTGCCCATGGTGTTGAAATGTTGATCGCCTATATATTAACATTGAAGTTGTGAAATCTTTTTTGTTGGCTTTTATTCTCTTTTTATTTTTTGATAGCTCATGACTTTGTTTTAACAGGAATCCTTTCATCGAAGTTTGTTATCCTAAGTTCAATAAAGGTATTCACTACCCATGAATGGCTACCTACAAAACCAACTATTTATTTTCATTGTCAAGGAGCAAACGAGACCATGTTGCCTGATGTGAAGGAAAAAAACTTCCTGTACATTTTCAGTGGCGAAGAATCTTGGCAGGTAAATGAAGATCATATTGGTAATACCATTTTCAAGCTTAGAGTAGCCTATAGTATCTTTACAAAATATTAAGCTGACCTTGCCAGAACTTTTGCTACCTTGTTTACGTTGCTTCAAAATCCAAGCAGGAAATCTGTTTTTCCTTTTACTTTTATGCTGTCAATAAGGTCCTGCAATTACTTTCCTGCCAATGAATTACTTTTGTTGATGCATATCGCAAATTGGTAAGTTAAAAATGGATGATACTAATACACCTTAGTTTCGTTCGAATCTGCAGGATTTCTTGCCTTTTCCATAACTGTACTCTCTCTTTATTGCCTTCCTCATGTTAGGACTCTTACCTGCCTCATTTCTGTGATAATTTGCCCAAGGGTTTCTGTCCCATTAGCTCATTAATCTACTGAATCGTTGATGTAAATGCTTTTATGAAACATTTTAGTTCCGCATCATGACCCGTATCTACAAAAATGATTCAGTTTAGTGGAGTTAGTAAACAGGGACCAAGTAGAGAGGCGACTGATGATCGTTCATTCTCATGTTGTTTTCAGCCTCTGACAGAACTTCCAGAAAAGAAATGTAGAAGATGTGGATTATACGAACACAACACTTTTAAACCCGATGATGTCTTCGACGAGTGGGAGCTGTGTCGTAGCAATTTTGTTGATGGAAAATATGTACGTCTCAAGCACAACGAATTCAACGCCACGTTCCTATGCCCTCAGTGCACTGCTTTAGGTGGTGAGTGCTTTTTATATGTTCTTCCACATCGATTATACATCAGCTTTCATACATTGGTCCCATACATCATCTTGGCTATGCTATGTCGGATGTTGGGATAGAAGAAGATTGTTAGACGAGTCCGAAAATGATCAATGATGAAGGAACAAACTTGTAGTTGCAGGGATGACTTCTTGGAAGAGAAGGCAGACGGTTCTGCTGGTAGTAGTGAGCATATTTGCTGCCGCTGTAATGGCTGCAGGCGTGGCAGCCGTGTTCAGATACTGGCGAAAGAGGAAGAGGGAACAGGACCAGGCTCGATTCTTAAAGCTATTCGAGGAGGGTGATGACCTTGAAGATGAACTGGCTCTAGGAAATGCCATATATAAATGATACGTGAGAAATACCCCTTTTTGTTTTTTTGACTTTTGTACGTTTGCATCCCAAACGTAAAGAGAGGTATATATATACGTATCTTCTTCGAGTGCATGGTGGGGTAGCTCTAGAAGAAACACTTGCACTATTTTTCCCCTCTTTTCCAATATTTGAATAAATAAACGTTGGATAATTAATTTTTTGAATAAATATGAGAAATACATGAATAAAATTTGTTTATATAATATCTCGATTAATTTTACATAAAAAATAATCTGTGAATTTGAAGGATAGAAGATAATCTGTGAATAGAAAATAATTATTTTTGGATGAATTTGAAGGATAAAAATAATCTGTGAATTATATTGGATCTTAATGTTAATATTTTAAATAAAAAATATAATAATTAGGGTAGGTATATTATTATTATTATTATTATTATTAACTTGACCTCTATTATGATAAGCTAATTAACCCATCCATCAAATCAAATAAATGAAAACATCAAATTAAATATCACATCTGATGCCTGTAAAGAGTTGGGCATGAGTTTCACCTGCTGATCGATAATGCAACTCCATCATTTCCTTCATGTCGGTGGGAACATCAATGCAAACATAAACACAGCTGTCTCTCACATCCCCACCTCTCTCAATAGCTAATTAGTAGTGTTATACGGAGGAAGAAGACGAGCTGGTGGGACCAAGGGAATCTGAATCCACCCACTCACGCACATTGCAATGTGTAAGTAACTCTGCTTGCATCTTGATTGCCATCATTTGTTGAGATTTGCCACGATCCATCTGGTGAATGTTGACCGATTCTTTCTTTTGCACGTTAAACACTTCATATTTTGGGCGTAAGTTCTTATGATTAGTTCCGTGTCAACTCACTGGTCGCCGTCCTAGTCAATCTTGGCGTCCGCAGCCTACGGACATTGGCCGATGCCCGGTGGGGACGGCCCCCACCGAGGTGGGCTTTCGGGATTCCCTAAGGGGAGGTTTATTTTGGTGTGGCATTACCGGAACAGGAGGACTCTCCTCGGGATTCGGTGTCCTACTTGACGGAGATTGCTTGTGTGCCAAGTTTCTCGCCGTATAAATCCGGGCATCACTTTTCCTCTTTCTCCTGCATGTTTGGTGCCTGCCAGTCTGCTGCCTTGCCTTCTTCGTCGACGGTCTCACCGCCTTCCTCTCGGTGTCATCTATTTACTGCGAGGTAAGAACGAGACGAATGTTGTGTTCTTCCCTTTCGTTCCTTCTCCCAAATTTTGGGAAGCGTCTTCCGGATCCTTTATTCAGTTTTCACAACAGGTTTCTTGCTTCTTTTTCTGCTGCGTTTTCTGCAGCATGGCTTTATCTAAGATCGCCAAGACCGCATTCAGCCGATCTCAGGGTAGAATAGCTTCCGAGAACTGCGTGCACCGGATGGGGCTTCTCCGCCGCGGCCTTCCCGCTAGTCAACCTTACCACACTTTGCTTCCGAGTATGATGGCAAGCGATGGCTTCTCTCGCATCAGGAGAGCCGATGTTTTCGGTGTCGAAAGCAGGGGAATCAGCCACACCCCGTCCCGCGAATACCCGCCTACTGCTCAGGCGATCGAAGATGATTTGTATGTGGAGGCTGATGATGGTGCGAGGCTGCCAGGATTGGAGCCTACGAAGCCTGGTGAGAAGCCGAGGGTGGTGGTTCTCGGCACCGGATGGGCTGGCTGCCGGTTCCTCAAAGGACTGGACGCCAAGCTTTATGACATCGTCTGCATCTCTCCCAGGAACCACATGGTCTTCACGCCCCTGCTTGCTTCTACCTGCGTTGGCACGCTCGAGTTCCGCTCGGTAGCTGAGCCGGTGGGCCGGATCCAGTCTGCTCTGGCCGGAGCCCCTGATTCCTACTTCTACCTGGCAAATTGTACGGGGATCGACACGGACAAGCACGAAGTGAGATCCACATGAACCTTCCTCTGTTTCATCGTGCTCATGTTAATAGATCGAACTCATGTGATGATGGATCGGAGTAGGTGCATTGCGAGTCTGTCCCAGGCACCGGGCTGCCTTACGACCCCTACCGCTTCAAGGTTGCGTATGACAAGCTGGTTATCGCGGCCGGTGCAGACCCTCTAACCTTCGGCATCAAAGGAGTCCGAGAACATGCAATGTTTCTCCGTGAAGTACACCATGCTCAAGAGATACGAAGGAAGCTTCTTTTGAACCTGATGCTCTCCGAGTCTCCGGGTAAGTTGTATGGATTGATTGCATTGCAGAGATCCGCCTTCTTCGCGCATACTTCGATGCTCATCGACTCGGTATCCGGTTGTTGTCTATCTATGATCGCAGGCATATCAGAAGAAGAGAAGAAGCGTCTTCTCCACTGTGTTGTCATAGGAGGTGGCCCGACCGGAGTAGAATTCAGTGGTGAACTGAGTGACTTCATCATGAGAGATGTACGCCAGAGATATTCTCATGTAAAAGATCACATTCAAGTGACTCTCATAGAGGTACGTACAGCTTCGGCATCTCGAATCGATGTTTACGATCTGGAAAGAAGTTGCCGATCGTTTTTGTTTTCTGAGCAGGCAAATGAGATCCTATCATCGTTCGACATCGGATTGAGGCAGTACGCAACGAATCACTTGACGAAGGTGAGCAATATGCTCGTCATTTTAGTGAACACAAGGTAGATTTTTCCTTGCCTGTGGAGCAACTGAATCATCGGTCACGAATGGTGCATCAGTCTGGAGTTCGTCTCGTGCGAGGCGTGGTGAAAGAGGTGCTGCCGGAGAAGATACTCCTAAGCGACGGAAGTTGTGTTCCTTATGGTCTGCTCGTCTGGTCCACCGGAGTCGGGCCCTCGGAGTTCGTGAAGTCGCTCGACCTTCCCAAGGCTCCGGGCGGAAGGTCAGTACGGCATGACGATCCTTTAATTCGTGTGGTTTTTCTTTCTCTCTCTCTTTTGCAGGTGTGATTGCGGTTTTCTATGTGTGCAGGATCGGAGTCGATGAATGGCTTCGCGTTCCATCCGTGGAAGACGTATTTGCACTGGGAGATTGCGCAGGTTTTCTGGAACACACAGGGAAGCCGGTTCTTCCTGCCCTGGCTCAGGTCCCTCGTACTCCTCCGTTCCTCTTCTTCGAGATAGATAGCATGACGAATCGAACAACTGTGGATGCTGAAAGTTGCCAACTCCTCTTGCAAACAGGTTGCCGAGAGGGAGGGCAAATATCTCGCCAACATGTTCAACGAGATTGGCAAGCAGAACGGTGGCAAGGCGCACTGCGCCGGGAACATCACCATGGGGGATCCCTTCGTCTACAGGCACCTCGGAAGCATGGCGTCCGTTGGGCGCTACAAAGCATTGGTGGATCTAAGACAGAGCAAGGTACGATGCATCTCCTTCATGTGAATCCAGGAAGGTGCCTAAGAATGCCTTGGGAAACAACCATGAGATCTTAACTTTGTTGCGCAGGACGCCAAGGGCATCTCCATGGCCGGGTTCATCAGCTGGTTCATATGGAGGTCTGCCTACCTGACGCGTGTGGTAAGCTGGAGAAACAGGTTCTACGTCGCGGTGAATTGGGCCACGACTCTGGTCTTCGGCAGGGATAACTCCAGGATTGGATAGGTCCATCGATCGCAATGCTGCACGCCGCGAGGCAGCCAAGTTTTGGGAGCAAAAAATCCTACGCTCGAAATCATCATCATTTTGTTTTGTTTTGTGTTTCTTTCTTTCTACTGTTCAATTTTTTTAATCCAAAAGAATTTATTTGTCGTATTTATATCAAAAAAAATCCTCTAAAATTGATAATAAAATCTATATGTTGGTTTCTGATTATTATGTTCTACGGTGGCAATGGCAACCTGACTGGAGTTTTGTGTCAAGCTTTATTTTTTTTGTCTTGCATAGATCGAGCGCATGCTCAAAATATTCCATTGAGATCATTATAATATTTTCGTTGATGTTACAAATAATAATCAATCAATCAGAACTCGTGACTGATACTATCAGAAAATATTCTTTACATTATAAGTTGTTTGTAAATCCAAATTATAAATATATGGCTGTTCAGATTTATTTTTTTTCTTTTTTAACCCTTAACATTTCATTTTAGATTTATTTAGTCTTTCAAATTTGATAGGGGACTACTCTAACTCATGACGGTTCACCCGTAGGTTCGCGAGGAATTGTTCGTTCATTTTAAACGATGGTAGGCGTATCCATAATTTTATCCTTTCAGAATATGTGAACTCTAAAAGAAAGTCTTCGAGGATAAAGAAAACTAAATGATCTTATCATGATCGATGATAGTTTGTTTAATCATACCTTTTACTAACTTCGAATATCATCCAAACACTTCTTATATATACAAATTTAAATTAAATTATATCATTCCAATTATCACCAACAAGAAGGCTAATAAGGCCTCACTCTCCTATGTGCACTGATGAACACATTTAGCACGTATTAATTGAGAAGTCAAAAAAATTAAGATATATTATAAGTACTAGATTCATACTATTATTATATATATATATATATATGTGAGGAGGCTTATTATTGTAGATGCCAAATAGAAGTGGAAGATTCAAATAAAGTTGGCTTGTGGGTTTCGGCTTAGTTGGGAGACGATGTCGGGCCGCAAGGGTTTGGGCTAGGGCGGGGCGAAGCGCCACCGCGAGGTGCTCCGCGATAACATCCGGGGGGCATCACGAGGCCCGCGATCTGGCGCATCACCGGCCTGGGAGACCCGCGGGCCCCACAACATCATTCTCGCTTACGTGATCTGTGATGCTGTCACCTACACTGAACACGCCCGGCAGAAGACCGTCACCGCCATGGCCGTCGTGCGTGCGTGCCCCGAAAAGGCAGGGAAAGACTCTCTACGAGTATGGCGGTTAGGGTTTCATCACAATTAAAAAGTCTTGCTGTCGAGAAAAGAGGAAAGAGAAAAAAAAATTGAATTGGAGGTTGTGTGGGGAAAGAATTTGTTGCTCCCAAGTGTTGTTGGAATTGCTAATCTGGGGTTTTACTTGGTTTTCTGCATGTCGGTGCTTTTAGTTGTTGATACTGGAATTTTTTTGTGTATAAATACTGATGTGGGATCGATGCTTAATTATTTTTGCTTCTGTTGGATTATAATAACTTGTTTTGAGCTCTTTTTTTAATAGCTGTTGCATCTTTCTTGCAGTGCGTGCGATGCTACCTTTGATCTCTTATGATATGTTGTCGGACACCTTTTGCTACAAGTTATGAGGTTGTCTATTAGGATGTACCTGCTGTCTTTCCTTAGCTCAGTTTGCGTGAGATCAAAACTAAATATATGTTCGTGTTTGTTGATATGTATGCTACTTTGGTATGCGTCAGAAATTTGAAATTTATTTCATCCTTCAATATTGAGGTAATATTGATATTTAGACTTCAGACTTTAAATAGGATGCATGCTTCTGTTCATACGATTTGACTTGTTAAACTTATTGCATTGGTTATTGCTTTAATGATATGGCTTTAATTAATGGTACGACACTGGATGATACTTTTTCTATTATTTGTGGTGACATGATTTGAGAGGTCCATTTTACCCCAAGCACTTCACGACCTAATTTATGCATGCTTGTCAATTCAATTATCGTGTTTAATTGGAAAATTTTTTCTTCTCATGTATGTGTGTCCTTTATGGTAGTAAGAGCTTGTGGTTGTTCCAAAATTAACATTTTATTTTGTGGCAGGTAAGTTTGGATGGACTTTCCTGCGAGGCTAATATTGTCATAGTATCATTCAGACACTTGATCTTTTTTCTTTTACATCGCAATTTCTGCTTACAACTTTTCGGTGTATTGTGATGCAAAGATCTTAGAATAGGATATATTAGGTTTGCTTTGGCCTTTGTTGAATGACAATATAAAACAAGATTATGGAAATTATTTCTTTCATACTTAAGTTTACATTTTGGATTGAGTATTTGGTGAATGTGAGATTTTGCTGCACCATGTGATGATACTCGAAAAGTTTAAACTTTTTTGGTTGCATTGCATAATTTTGTTGTATGTATATCCCTTTGCTAGTGTAGCTCACAGAATGTTTCATGACATTTTTTATATGGTAATTTATTTGATCTGCGAGCAATTTATGTTTAGATGTCATGTTGCAACCATTAATACTGGATGCTTTTGTTACAGAGTTTGCTATGAGTGTGGTGTAAGTTGATTGATTATGCTATCTTTCTAGTTTGAAAGTTTTGTTTTGTTTGATGGTGCAAGATTTGTTGGATCCTCATTTCATTGGTGTCGAGGGTAAGGCTTGGTATCTTGGTGAAACTGTATATCATGATCGATTAATATTATGCTCCTTTCCCATTGTTCATAGGTAGGGCTTTCTACGTTGATCCACACTAAAACTGTATATGCAGGAGTCTTGTGTATTAGGCTTGTTCCTTGTATTTTGCTGCCTGTTCCCACTTAATTCTTGCTTAAATTATTTGCATCTAGTCATCCTTTGTGGTTGTTTCATTGAATAGTTTGGATTGCCTTGGTTCAAATGTTTCTTGAAAATAATGTTCTGACTACTCAGAGTTTAGTAGTATTAATAACTGGTATATGAGATCTGTTATATCAGAAAAATAAAATTAAGAATCCATATCAAAAGCTGATGCATAGTTTGTTTAGTTCCATGTGCTGCAGGTTATTTGCTGACTGTTTCTGAACTAGGATGAATTGTATCAGTGGCTTGATTCATGAGGAAACTCTAGGTGTTCTTAGCATGTTCCCCAACAAGGTGATCTTTCTTTTACCCTTTATTATGTCGTAGGAAAACCATTATGACCATGATACCATGTATGCCTCTGCCTTGGTGTTCGAGGATTGGTCACCATAGAAAATCTCTGTTGAGACAATGATTATAAAAGGACACTCAACAGTGAAACGGAAACTCTTAGTTACAGTATTTGAGTTCTTAATCTTATTAGATATCTTTGGTAATTTGATTTTTATGTTCCTGTAGTACCTCTGGAGACATTTTCTCATTATGTCCAGCTGTTACCTTTCACTGAATTGTGGCCTGGATGCATAAATTTGTTTGCTGTTGTCATATCCCAGACATGGGCAATCCTAATGGTATGTGATGCTTGCTACATACATGAATGCAAAAGTATCATACTTTGTGTAGCTTTTTTTTTTTTTTTTTTCTTTTCTCTATGTGATCATTATGCTTGACTTGATCAAGTATTCATTCATGCCTAAACATGTGACTCACGTACTAGTCTCGTGGAGTTGTTAACTGAATGGTCGAATTCCTTATTTGTGGCTTAATGGTATTCTGTCTTCTAGATACTTGTCTAATACCAATTGATGTCATTAAAAGATAATCGGAATGTCCCAAAAGCAAATTAGAGAGTTCTAAAATTGCAGTAGTTCTTCGTGATGTTTTCCCAATTTTTCTCTTTAGGAAATTGGGATGTTTACTTCCTGAAAATAAGGTTTTAAAGCAATGTGGGTATTCTCATTTACTTGTGCTTTTTCTTGGTCTTAGCGAACCAACATCTTTATTAGATCTGTTTAATTGTATCATGTCCTTATGACGGAGGATGTTTTGTGAAAATTAAATGTTCTTGAAGAGTCGCAGTCTGAGAGACTCCTTTTCACTATTTGGGAAATGAATTTAGGCTGTTGCATTATTGTATTGCAGAAATGTTTTATTTTATACTGAGTGTGATTTGACTGTTTTATTAGGCTGTTGCATTATTGTATTGCAGAAATGTTTTCTTTTACTGAGTGTGATTTTGACTATTTAAATATGTCATGCCATCCTTAGATAACGACTGTTCTATTGTAATGTTCGGTAATGTATCTATTCATTTTCTCTATTTTCAGGGTGCAGATGGGTGGTTGGCTGGTGGGAATCGAGAAAACTTTATGTTTACAGTCACAATGATCTGACTAACTGATTCTTGATTTGTTAATCTGTAAATTATATTCAGATGTTGAGGGCTTTGAAATGCATCATCTTATCTGTTTGTATGTCTATATATGTACTTATCCAGGCTTTTGCATATCAACATAGGACCACATCTACATGAATATTCATCCGTATAGATGTTTTCCTTCCTTTCATGCCTTGATTTTCATTTGTTTGTGTTTGAAAAATTAAAAGCATAAAGAAAGAATAATGGTGTCTTAACTTTCCTTGTTTGTGTAGTAAATTACCACAGGATTAGTTGATTTCTATATCGTTGGAGTTTCTGAAAGTTTGATTCAGGATAAAATAGCATGGACAAATATAGTGCAGAAGGCTTCCGAATCCGGAGAGGATCAATGTATGTAGCTTTACCCAGTTTGTTTTTGCAACACAGAATTCTGATCATCCATGTCGTTCGAGCAAATAAAGTTTTTGGTAAGAAAGTTTTTTTTTTTCCAGACATGTTAATAAGGTTAATTATGGTAAATACGCCTTCATACTGTATGTTTTCAGGGAAAGTACATGAACATATTGTATTTAAGCTGGATTTTCGTAACAGATTATATAATACTTTTTTGGTTGGCTTTATGGTACCGTCTTATGTTATTTGGGTTTTGACTCAATTCTCCTGGATTTTCATGTTGCTAAATCCTTGTTCTTCATCCGGATGCGCCAGGTTTCTGCTGGGAAATGTTGGTGCACCCTGGTGCATCAGATGGGAGGGGTTTCTCGTAGAACACTGTTGCAACAGCCACTCAGCTTTGTGCGTTGCAAGCCGTTCTTACAACCTCCAAAATTCATACTCGTCAATTCTTTGGGTTTCTTACTGAATTGCTTGTCGTCACCAATTTGGCCCATCGACAGGAGAGTGAAGAAAAGCATGCATTGATGTTGCTGCAGATTGTGGAAGAATAGGTATGCAGTTTTCTGTAACTGGTTTCGACAAACGATGGCAGCCAAGGTGAGCCAATTCTGTGGTTCCAAAAGAATTAACTATGTCAGCTAGGATCAAGGTTTATTGGATTCTGTGTTTTATCTATGTATTTGATCGAGAAGTTGTTTGGTCTTCTAGACTTGATGGTTGCAGGTTAGCTTTATGCTCGTCTTCTCAATCACTCAATCCTCGAAGTAGGACAAAGGGGCATCTGCATTTGGCAGGTTGCAGCACACCAGCATCATTAGCCGAATCTTGCGGAGGTGTTTCCTCCAGGAAGCAACCCAGACGAGGCATAAAAGGTACTGCTACTACTACACAACTGGAAGAAAGACTTTATAGTTATTTTGTCTTTCTAATTACAAAGTTAATAGACTAGAAAACAAGTTAGTATTTCATAAAATAATAGAATTAGGACTTGTAAAAATCCATAGCATTATATATTGATGGAGTAAGTAGTACTACTTTTTGGGAATAAAGGAGACAATATTCTTTAGGATATAAAGCTATCGTCTTTAGGTGGTGGAAGGAGGGAAGGTTATGTGGACAACCTCTAGTACAGACATGCCAAGTGCTCTCGACGAAGAAAGGGGTGGGTCGGTACAAGTATTCCTTGACGCCCATTGCCTTTGGCCGGCGAAAGCGGAGGCCAGACGTCGTATCTTTGTGGACTACACCGTGTAGGGGTGGATTCACGATGGCACGTGTATCATTAAAGCAGTAGCTCTACGGTGTAGGAGAGCGATGCGGCTTGATGGCCGCGATTGACGTGATTATTTATTTATAATATGATTAGATGTTATTTAGCTTTCTTTCTATTGCAGTCGTTAATTACTGTTTATGTGATAAATAAATGCAAGCGCGAAAGCGACGTCTACATAACAAATGCATCGTGATTGGTGCCTCACGTGATGCGACGCGTGGCCGTTTGCGTCGGTCCAGATTTGATGATTTAAAATACATGGAGAGCGGATTCCGCGGAAGCGTAAGCGCAAGCTGCGGGAAACTCCGCACTTCGGAACGAACTTGTTGGTGAGACGTGGGTCGTCTTCGCTTCCCTCTTTGCCTTCCCCCTCACGGCTGCTACCGCTGAGCTCTCTGTCGCGCTGTTTCCTTTTTACCTCGAGATCTCTTTCGTGCCTTCTTCGCTGCGACCTGTCCCGAAAATCGATGATCCAATCAGGTACTAGTCGACCCTGACGTGCATATCTTGCAGCTTCGATCGTTTTCCCCTCGGAACTCAGGCCGCGAATGAGGGTAGAAAGATCGAGCATGATGGATTTCTTCCCTCTTGAGTGTTCGGATTTTTTGGGGTTTGAATGTCTAGTGCTTGGACTCCGAGCGGTCCCCGTTGCTGCATTGGACGCCGTCCTGGCATGAGATACAAGTGATCCGTCCCAAAGTCGGAGAGAGAAGATGTGGTTTTAAGGTATTGGAATCGTAAGGTTTTTGGGTTTGTGAAATCTACTTGGGATCTCATAGTTTCACCATTTCGTCTTTCGGAAAGTTAGTTTGAGAAAACGGGCAATGGTCTCTTTGTGTGAGATTAGGACGAGATTTAGTCTCGAGCCATCGCCATCGATGGTCTCTTAGGGTGGAAGGGGAATCATCAGCCATGGTCGCCATCATAAGCTTTTATGATGTTTCCTGTGTGAGATTAGCACGGGATACAATCTCGAGTGGCTAAATGGAAAGGAGACCGGGTAATGTTTCTTTTATGATGTCTCTTGGATGTTGACGAGTCCTATAGTCTTGTTGTTACTACTGGTCGCTAATTGTGGTGAATGGTTGGTCTTTATATTCCTATTCTATGGTCGAATGGTTTCTGGTTTGGGAGCTCTATTGCTTATCGGAGTTGGAACATGGATGAATAAGACCCGGTTTTTTCACTTACATTTGGGGAAAAAAAAAAGGTTTAGGAGGACTAGAAGTTTTGGAGCAGCTTCTTTTGGAAGTCCAAGGTTATGTTCTATACAATCATAGCCAACATAGTTGTTTTATTTGGGATTTTTCACTTCTTTTTCCAAATGCTTGTCGTTAAAAATTTATCATATTTCTAGTTAATAGGGACGGTGGCAAGACTTTTCTTTGGCAAGAATTATGTTTTCACCTCTTAATGTTAACTGAACCTAGTGGTTTCAGACAGTGTGGTTGTGTTGAGTATGTTGATCAAATTCACATGGAAACGTCCAATTTCAAATTTTCGATTGAAAGTTTGAAACTGTGCTTTCTTGGCTGTTGTTGTAAGTATAGTTTGGAATCTTTGTTGCGTGACTGAAGTGTTTAAGGGCATTTATAGTCTGGATATGTTGTTTAATATTTATTTAGTCATTGATGCTTTGTCCTTAACTTTTTAAAGTTTCTTAATGTCTCAGTTTATTTTAATGCGTTTTGTGCTACACCATGGCATACTCATCTTTCCATGTAGTACTTGGTCGGTTGGATTTCTTGTGACCAGCATGCCATTTTCTGATGGCATACTCAGGAAAGTCTATTTCTCGTTATTGTTCAATCATAGTTACCTGCATTTCCATGCATTTCAAGGACTACTTGGCCTATTTTGGTGTAACTGCTTTTGAGGTACTTTATAATCTATTTTGTTATAAAGCGGTTCTTTAGATGCTATATTATAAGCATTTCTGCTTGACCTTCATGGAAGTGGATGAAATTTACAAAACAATTTTCTCCACTAATCATGGTGAGGAGATTCTATATTCAGGAGATTCTATATTCCTCAAGTCATTGGTCTTGGAGGTTTGATCAGACTGTGACATAATCCTGCCATAAACCTTTATTATGTGGTTGTAGACATTATTAACCTACCGTAATCCATAAATATGTTACACCATTCTTTTTCAGGATTAGTTACTGATTTTAGGTTATTTTTGGAAATAATAATTCTATCAGCTTAAATTTCCGGATTAGGTACTGACATTTTCCGGACAGCAACTCCCCCATTGTCTTACTCTGTGGCTAGTGCAGCGGAAGTTGGAGTTTTAATTTATCTCGTAAATTGTTTCTGCTATTCTTTATTTATGTAGTCTCGAGCCATGATGTGATAATTGATGTCTTCTTGCCTGCATTTTATGCACAAATTTACATGAGTCTAAAGTTATAATTGGTCAGCTGTATAATTCCTCGGTGTTGATATTTTGTGGTGACTTCATAGTAATGGAAGTAAATGATGTTATCAAGCTATGCTTCTCTTGTCAGCTTTTGCTTCATTACGGTATCTTATGCTTATAGGCCTCATGCTTATGTTCTGTTTTAGCATTCATGGAGATGCATCTTCAAGCTGTGATGGTGTATTAGATGCTGCTGCTTCAGTTTTAGATCATTCTATGTTCCACTAAAGAGAACTTAAATCCATCATCTGCTGGCCAGACATAGTCTTAGGAGATGCAAATACAAGAAGAGGTGTTTCTTCTTTCTAACATTGTTATTATGCAGTTTGTGAAGCATACTGACTTTTCTGCTAATTGAATGTTTACTTTTTTTATATTGGCAGATTAAAGTTGACCATAAAGATAGGTGTTCTGGTGTGCCAATAAAAAAAAGGCTATTTCATTTGTCACAATGTTCATTTTCTCCATCCCAAGAAACATGTTCAATATCACATAATTATCAGCGGCAACCTAATCAGTTCTCAGTTGAAGCAGAATCTTCTGTGTCAGTAAAAGATGCTGGTCTGCCACTGGACACCGGTACAAGTCCTAAGGACGTCGTAAATTCTTCCTCTGCATCATCTGGTCAGAGGTATGGCAGTGATGTCCATGCTAATCATGATGACATGGAACTCAAGAAAGCCACAAGAGCCTTCAAGGGATCAAATATGGAGGAAGATCGTAATGCTGATAACAGGCCATCACTAGGCTTAGATACGGATAAAGGAAAGCAGTTATCACAGCCTGGTACATGGGAAATGATTATAGTTGACAGGACCATGGAAGAGAAAATTGCTACATGTGATGTATCTGCATTTAGAGGAGTTGAAACAACATCCATTGTGCATTTATCGTCATCTAAGGATAATAAATATCATGGTTACAACTCGTCGAAGCAAGAGATAGTTAAAACCTGTTCTTTGGATCTGCGTCAGACCATGCACGATGAAGTGGATTCAGAGTATGGATCTGCTGATCGCTGTGTGAGCAGAGAAAATTGGGATTTGAATGTTCCAATGGAGGTGTGGGAAGCCAATTTAAGTGATTCAGTTGTAAAACATGCCATGGATCATAGGTTAAATCAGAGCGCTATGCACCCGCAAAATATTGACAGATGCCTCGTTCAACCTACGCTAGGCGCCATTGCGAGTGCGTCAACATCAGGAACATCTATGGTCGAAAGAAGTCAATACAAGCCAAGATTGAGAAATTGGAGAACACCTGCTGATGACAAGAGGGGCTATGAAGGTGGCTTAGACTTGCAGCTTCGACCACCTAGCAGACCAGAGTTACGCATTAACTGGGGAAAGATAGTCCCTTCTGATCTTAGTCTTTCGTTGACTGGGAATCTTTCAGAGGTATCTCGTAGAGTTGTGAAGCCTGAACATTGTGAGAACAGTAATCAGAAAGTAACTGAAGTGTCTCAACATAGTAGTCTAAAGTCAGTGGGAATTAGGCACGTAAACTCTGAACCATGTGATGAAAATGTTCATGGTGAAGCTTCCAGTGTAGCTGTTCTCTTTGATCAGGAATCATCACTAGGAAGAGTGTTGAAATCAGAGCCACCTGAAGAACCTAAGGAAAAGCCACCAAGTTTGGAGCCGGATGACAATCATCAATTAACTTGTTGTACAGACGTTTCCCCGAGTCAGGTTAAACCTGCTCTTAATTCTAATGCTGTGGTTGATGCAAATATACTTAATGATAATAACCCAGTTATGCCTGGTAATGCAAAAATAGAATCAGGTGAGAGCACTTCTCGGGCTTTAGATCCTGCTGAGTTGTCAAGTTCCGATGTACCTTATAAGGCTGACGATGTGCTTACCAACATTTGCGCTAACCAAGGTGCAGAAGGAAACACTAGTAAATCAGTGGATATTATTGCAGACCCCATCATTTCTGATGCAAAAGAATCTAATGCAAACATGACTGAAAGTCGTGAAATTGCTGATGTGGCTTCTTCTCTGCATCATGAGTCTGCAAGTTATCTTAAAGAACCCATGACTCATGATGATTTGTCTGAAGGTAGTGCTGAAATGGACTGCTCGGACAATGAAGATTATACTTCATCAAAACTAGATGCTGGAGATGATCTTCACATGGCTACTGACATAAACAATGTACCAAGTGCCACAAACCAGGAAGGCTTGGGCTTACCAGCTGAGATTCAGACAGAACAATTCAACAGCAATGAACAGCAGTTCGATGCTACTTATAATTTAAGGTTTACAACCGATATAACTATTCCTGTAGATGGTGATATTGAGGTCAAAGGTGGTGAACTTGGAGATCCTGTGCCACAATGTGCAAGTGAGGTTTCCTGTGACCACGAGAAGAAAAGAGTACGGGGAAATGTGCTAGAATGGTCAAATGAGCTTCCATGCGAGTATGAAAAGAAGGTACATGAAAATGTGACTACTGATTTCACTGGTTCAGATGGTCATGCTGTCATGATGGAAATACATTCAGATACAAAGGGCAAACAAATAGTGTCTGAAGAGGCAATGAGCCTTCATAGAGATGAAAGTTTTGATGTCAGTATGTGCCGTGATAAAAAGGAGATGAGCTCTGACCTGACAACAGTTTTGCATGAGCCACCAGATAATGGAGTGGTACGAGTTTCTTCCAGTAAGAGGCTTGCTAAACCTTGTCCGGAAGCAATAAAGAATCACCTTGGAAAGGAGAAGAGCTCAGAGATGAAGTCAAATTCTATCAGACCACCTAATGCAATTGCAAAAACTACCGAGGACAATGTAGACAGACAGCAGATGAGAACTAGATATGCCATTGCGTCTATTAAGCATCCGGAGCTGCCAGAGAGAGATTCAGATGTCAGTGGCGTTGGGAATAAGCATGTTGATGATGCAGGTAAGCATAGCCACGAGAAGAATGTTGACAGTAGGTGTAAGCATAGACAGATTACGAAGGTAAGTTCACCTACTATTAGGTCATTTGGCCAGAGGAAACCTATTTCTTCTAGGTCAAATTCATCAGGAACTGAGGATGGGTTGATCGATAAGCAGAGGCGAGACAGAATGTTCTCTCAGAGGAGAAGGTGATAATCCTTTCACTTTTTTTTTTTGTAGTTGTACGTGTTGTTGCTGCTGCTAAAAAGTAGCTCTTGTTTTGAAATTTATGCCTTTTTTCATGCTTCAGGTGTTCAGAATTTGAAAGCAAGAAGAATCAAGATCAGTCAACTGATAAATGTGATTCTGATTACATGAACACTGCAAGGCACAGCAACCGGCATTTGGATCGGAATTCCAACACCCGGTTTGCATCAGAACATAATAATTCAAGAAAGCACCAATTTTCAAGGCTTAGTTCAAGGTCGGAAGTTCCACTAGAAGTTGCTACAAATGGTTCTGTTGGAAGTGCCAACACTTTATCGAGGAGGCCAATGGGTGATCAGCCATACCGTTCATCTTGTTTTCCACTCTGGAGGCGACTGCCGAGGCATCAAGAGGAACCACCGTTGGTGGATACCCGAAATGCTAGGTGCTTAGTAAGGGACGTTAGCCCTAACAAGGAGGAGATCATGAGGACACTACATCATGAAATGGTGGATAGTATCTTATATTCGCACCCTACTATGCAATATGGACCAACCGAGAATGATGTCTTGCCGAGGGGAAGCAATATTTCACCTACTCGGTGGAGACCTCCTCCTTCACATTTCTATGGAATGGGCTCACCTCGTCGGTTGCTTTCCCCTGGAAGATCGCCTGAAATGGTTATGAATAAACAACATCCAGCATTAGTAAGGCATGGAGCACCACCATCAGTTGACATGCCCAATTCGCCTCATGGACATCTTTATTTCCCAGAAGGTATGATGGTTGAAAGGAATGCTTTGCCTGCCGACATGGATGAAATGCTTCCTGTTAACGATCTTGATCTACCTAGGCCCGGTGGGTTTCTGCAGAGGAACACAAGGAGGTATGACTTTAGCCCACATGAAACAGCTGCGGACTATCTTGGACCTGTTCACTTCTTTGCTGATCACTTCATTGACGCAAGAAATCATCATGATGGGCGTGATAACCATGAGCATACTACTCTTCCTTATCATGTCGATGCTCGCCATATTCGCAGCTCGAGGGACTTCGACAGTCAGGCAAGGGACCGACATGGAAACGCTCGTGACAGATTAAGAAGCATCGTAGAGCAGGGTGAAGGTCACAGATGCCGTGGAGAGCAAGGATGGCGTGATGGCGGACTCCACAGTGAGAGGTTGAAAAAGAGAAAACCCTGAGCAAGAGCATTATATATACACATGGTGACTGCATTATATACAAGCGTTGAAGGTTCATCTTCAACCTTAGCCTGTGGAATGGAGAAACGAGAGACGGGGATCCATGTCTGGCTGTATTGGGGGCGAACCACCACCTGTTCTGGTTGGAAACTACATGTTTTGCGGACTGGGAGTGATATCAGTTCGATTTGGTTACAGTGTTGAAGAAGCCTTATCGTTGACTTTGTGGTTAAATAGTCGGGAAGAGGAGTTGTTGAATGTTGGTGAATAATGGAGTTGGAAGATCACAAGTTAAATTATTACGAGATGTCGGTTTATCCTCCCTATTAGATCGTTCCACAAGTTGGACGAGTTAGCATGACAGAATCTGCTGCATCTTAGCATGACAAAATTAATCGACTTGGTATAATAATTTATTTACTACCTCAATCGATCGTAGTTGAAGTTGCTGTTTTTTGATGCTCCAGGAAGCATCTGTGGAGGGCTGTAGTAAGAATCACACTACATGAAGAAGCTCTATGGAGATTACAACCGACGAAAGGTTGGAAGAGGAGCTGTGGATGTCTGCTGATTAGTTCTTCTTCTTCAAGCTTATGGAAGCAACTTCCAAAAGGGATCTCTCACTCTCTCTTACCTCCTCTTGTTCCTGCTTCCCAACAGGAGGCTGATGTAGAAGAGGAACCTAAAGAAGAAGCCCCACGCCACAGCGATCCACAGGCAGTCCCACTTGCTGAGCTGCGTCACGCTCTGCTGCTCCAGGATGTTGGTGCCGGTGGTGATGCAGGTCTGGCTGGTTATGCTCACCCCTAAAGAACTGCTTATGGACTTGAGAACGTTCAACTTGATCGCCTCCGGCAACCCCCCGAAGGGCGTGTTGTCGAACATCTGCACCCCTCGGACGAAGCACTTGCGCGGATCGTCGAACTCGTTCTGCATCACCGCTTCGTAGGGGTACTTGACGAGTGAGAGGTAGTGGAACCAGATCCAGTAGTCGGGGATCCGGGTCCGGTCGATGAAGAAGCCGCTGAAGAGTAGGAAGTAGGCCAGAACGGAGAGGACGACGGCGCAGCCTAACATAATATGCGTCACCACCCCGGAGAGGAAGGTCACAAAACCGCTGCCGGCCCAGAAGGAGGCCAGGACGATCAGCACGAAGAAGACGAACCCCTGCATGCTCCCCGCGAGGCCGACGGCGAAGAAGGTGGTCGAGGCGAAGGCGATGGACAGGAGGACCAGCGGCGGGAAGCCGACGATGGTGTGGGAGAGGACGTAGGACGAGCGGCGGTAGGCGTTGTGTGCCGTCTCCCTCATGAAGATGTTGCGCTCCTGGAGGAAGACCGGCAGCGCATCGGCGCAGGTGTAGAACATGGTGGACATGGCTATGGCGAAGAAGCCGAGTCGTTCTTGCACGCCCCTGGGCGAGTTGTCGAGCCGCCAGAAGATGGTCGCCAGGATGAATCCCGTGACGAGCACCGCGCCGAGGCGGACGCCGAACAGCTCTGGCATCCGCTTGGAGTTGGTAAACGACCGCTTTGTCAGCACACCCACCTCGATCCAGAATGGATTGGCGTAATTCTGGACCGACGGCGCCGAGGGCGCTCCCTCGGTCGCGCCGGAAACAAGCTTCCCGCGGGAGATGCTGGCGCTGATGGCATCATTTAGAGAAAGAGATGGCTTGTCCGCGGCAGCCACGGCGAGTCGTACGCTCTGATGTGCCTTGTTGAAGTCGACGAGGGACCTTGCACCGGTCGGAGTGCCCTCGAGCTCGCGGATAAGGTCGAGCGCGAATTCTGTTGGGTTCTCGTTGGCTGGGATAGGATGGCCGAAGTCAGAGAAGAACCCGCGCAGACCGTCGGGCGGCCCACTGTACACGGTCTGGCCTCTGGAGAGGAAAAGGAGGCGATCGAGGAGACAGAGAATCCGGTAGCTCGGCTGGTGGACCGACATGATCACGATGCTCCCACTGTGAGCGATCCTCTGCAGCACCTTGGTCACCATGAACGCGCTTGTGGAGTCGAGGCCGGACGTGGGCTCGTCGAGGAAGAGTATGATGGGGTCATGGATGATGTCGATGCCAATAGAAACCCGGCGGCGCTCGCCTCCGGAGACGCCGCGGTGGATCTCGTCGCCGATGATGGTTTTGGCGGAGGTCCGAAGGCCCAGCTGGTCGATGAGCGCTTGCACCCGGCTCTTCTTCTTCGAGGCGGAGAGAGATCGCGGCAGCCGGAACTCAGCGGAGAACATCAAGGTCTCTTCCACGGTAAGCATGGGAAACAGGAGGTCGTCCTGCATCACGTACGCGGAGATGACCTTCAGCAGCTGGTCGTCGAGCTTCTCGTCGTTGAGGGTAATGGAGCCCTGCAGGCTCTCCCTCGCGATGCGGTTAGCGAGCGCGTCGATGAGGGTGGACTTTCCGGAGCCACTGGCCCCCAGCACCGCGAAGATCTCCCCTTCTCTGGCCTCGCCGGAGATGGAGTCCAGAAGCGTCTTACTCCCGGAGAACGCATCCGGCGTCGCGAGGCCTGCGGCGGGGTCCATGGCGAGGCGGCTCTTGCGGAAAAGGAACATGTTGCGGGCCGTCTTGACGCTGTACGAGAGATTGGTGAAGGTGAGGACGATAGGGAGGGGGCGGGAGGCCAACCCGCCACCTCCGGCGCCGTCAAATTCGCCCATAGCGACGACGTGGTGGGGCTGGGACGCGTCCTCATCCCCCACGCCGCCGCCACTATGGGCCTCGCCGACGCGCTTGAAGAGCTGGCCGAGTGTGACGGAGGGGCCGCGGGGGTGGTGGTGGTGGTGGTGGACAAGCAGGCCGCCGCGAGCGATGCCCTCGGCCTCCGCCATCGGGGAAGAGAGCCGCTCGAGGACGGATATCCTATCGACGAACCGCGACATGACGCCGCTTCCGTAATCCCCGCCTTACAGAACGAGAGGGAGACGGCGGAAGAGCAGCACGGTGTTACGGCACGCAGAGGTGAAAGACGAGGGCTTCGATTTGTATCCCACAACGACGGAAGAATATATATAGGGCTGTCGTTTGATGGTAGATGTGTGAAGGATTTGATTCACGGTGACGTAGCTCAAGAACATGCGTGTCTGTTGACAGGGTTCCTTTGCCGGAGGAGGACAAACCCAAACGTGTGGGCGGAAACAAAATGCAAAGAGCTTCGGATGGTAGAGCGAGTAGGTGTTGGGGTGTTCAGCTACATTCTTCTCGTCCAAAAGGCGGAAGGAAGGAAAGAGTGTTGGTGATTGGAAGAGGCACGCAGTGATCAAAGGTTTAGATGAGCTAAAACACACCTAACTAAGAGGATCTACAGAGGGAGAGGGAGGGGAGGTTGATCGACTGCATGATGACCAGCGATGGATGATTTGACTCTCTTTTTCCCTCGAAAAAGGAACGTTCAACAAAATAAGTAAGAGGAACAGTTGTTTGCCTCCTTCAAGAAAAAGCTTTAAGACAGTTTTGTTGCCATGTGACAATCTGGTGTTGATAGAGGGAGGGAGGGAGGACAATTTTGATCATTCCAAAAGAAAATTACTGCATAAATAAAAAATAAAGACACAAACAATGATGTAATTGTAAAATAATTGAAAGAGCTGTATTATTTGGATAGTAGTAATTCTTTTTTGCAAAGACAAGAAAAGATGTAACTCATAATAATAAGGATGCAGAAAAAGCATACCACATGATCATTAAATGACTGAGCTTTGTTGTACAAATCTGACTTTAGTATGCTAATACAGATGAGCTGAACTCTGATGCAATTCACACACAATCTCTCAACCTCTGTTTAACATCCAAGGGAGGGCAAATCAAGAGGCCTTCTTTGATGCAAGGAAAACAGATGGCACAAACTTGACCTATGTGATACATGGCATAATACAACACTGATGATATATGGAGGGAAAAAGTAAGGATTACATCATGACAAGAATATTAGAAAGAAATCACAATGAGCCCGTCGATAAATCGATTTTGATACAGACCTGCAGTGCCCTCCTTAGAGTTGCGGTTTGCTGGTGACACACCCATGAATTGAGCACATAACCATCCTTCTAAGTTCCAAAGGTCTCACATGGAAGATAGCAAACAGTTAATATGACAAATCCAGTGTAATTACATTGCCGAATAGCCTGTTTATGCAGATATGACCAATCGAAAAAAGAACAAAGAGAAAAGATTGAACCCTCATATACAGCACTATAGAAACATATTAAACAATCAACTCTTTCGGGTCTATGCCTCAAACGGTAATGTATCATATTACAATTAACTTACCGACCCTCTGACTTGATCAACTGTGAGAAAACCTTACTCATGGAGACGTCTGTAAGATCATTGTGCACTGACGTACCAGCTTCCTCCGCAGGGGCACTCTCATAGATGGTGTTGATGTTTTGAACCTGCGGTGAAAGTTCGGTAATGCGATTGATACTATCGATCTCAGAAACACTAGGATCTGCGTCTTGTAGATGTAGCACATACTCCAAGTTCCAAAGAACATCTCCCATCGAGGGGCGCTCCACACCCGAGTCTGCCAGGCATTTCTCGATCGTCTCCCCAAATTTCCTTAGAGATTCAGGCCTAACGGATCCTGCAATCCGAGTATCAACAATCTGCTCCAACTCACCCCTCTTTTGCCACTTCATTCCCCACTCTGCTAAATTCACCATCTCTCTTGGCAGGGTGGGATCAATGACCGGCCTCGCACAAAGCACTTCAAGCAAAACTACTCCAAATGAATACACATCAGATTTCTCTGTCAACCGTTGCCTTCGGAAGTACTCAGGATCAAGATATCCGAAACTCCCTTTTACGGCAGTGCTGACATGGGTCTGATCCAACTCAGGCCCAGTCTTCGAGAGCCCAAAATCAGCAACCTTTGCCAAGAGATTCTCATCAAGTAGAATATTTGCAGATTTAACATCACGGTGGATGATAGCCTTGGCTTGACCGGTATGAAGGTAGTGCAATCCTCTGGCTGATCCAATACAAATTTCCAATCTCTGCTTCCAAACAAGAGGAGGAAGATCTGAACCATATAGATGGCTCTTAAGAGTGCCCTTTTCCATGTACTCGTAAACAAGAATCATCTCATTCTTCTCATCACAGTACCCGATAAGAGAAACCAGGTGGCGGTGGCGCAGGCGTGACAGAAGTTCAATTTCGGTGCGGAACTCATTGAGACCTTGTTGAGATTTTGGATTACCCCTCTTCACTGCCACTTTT